CTATCGTTTTCATATCACATCCGATCAATGCCTTCATCGGTGTGGTATTTATGCTCTTATTATGCATTGTGTTCAAAGCACTTTGCACTTTCTTTACCTGCGTGTCCCAGTCTCGAGGATCTTGACCTGCGGCACTTGTCGCTAGGGCGTCAACGATAGTTCTATTATATCGTTCAACTTGTCCATTGGCCCTTGGTGTAGCCACTGCGTTAAGTACGTGCTTGATCCCATACGTTGTACACAGTGTCGTAAATCTTTTCGACGTGAAACTCGTGCCTCGGTCACTAATTATCCTTGTGGGAACACCAAACAGATACATAAAGTTTAATAATACTTTTTCAGTGTGACGCGTTTTCTGACTTTTTACAGGCTCTGCAATAACAAATTTCGTAAACGCGTCTATCATCACGAGTAAGTATTTATTTCCTTTCTTACTCGTCTCGAATGGTCCTACATGATCAATATGCAATGTGTGAAACGGTATCGGTACCTTTTCAATCGTATTTAGTTTGCACTGTTTTTTCCCAGCCGTGTGTTTATAATAAGCACAGCTTAAACATGCATTTACATACTTCGTTACGAAACGCCGCATATTTGCAAACCAATAATTACGCTGAATCCGCTCTAATGTTTTTTCCACACTTAGATGTCCAGCATCATCATGACATACCCGGCATATTTGTAATCTTGCATCTTTCGGAACAACCCATGCTGTTTTATTGTCCGATAGACGGCGATACAATTTATTGTTCTTCAACACGTATTCCTTAAAATAGTGTTTCGTTTCCGGCGACTTTTCCTTGTTGACAAGAATTGTCCTAATCCGTGACAACTGTTCATCCTGCATCTGGGCGGTCGTTATCCATTCAGCCTCGGTGATGTCCACGTAAGCGACCTCGAGAGCGACCGGTTGAGGATTTCGGCTAAGTGCATCCGCATGTGCCATCCTTGTCCCTGGTCGGTATACAATTTCGAAAGTATACTCTTGACTTTCTAACCACCAGCGTCCTATGCGTGGCAATAAATCCTTCTTCGAAAAGGTCGTCCTTAGCGCGTTGCAATCTGTTACGATTTTAAATTCTATTCCTAACAGATAAACTCGAAAATGTCGCAGAGCGAAAACAACTGCCATTGTCTCCAATTCGTAAGAGTGATAGCACCGTTGATCCGCCGTGGTCTGCTTGCTGAAATAAGCAACAACTGCCATATTTCCATCTTCCTGCTGCTGCAATAATATTGCTCCGACACCTAAAGAACTTGCGTCCGTGTGTACTTCCGTAGGTCTTGTCGGATCAAATATACATAGTACTGGTCGAGATGTTAATTTCTCCTTTACTTGCTGAAAAGCTTTCTTCTGAGCTTCTCCCCATTGCCATCGTACAGTTTTACGCGTCAGTCGTGTTAAAGGTTCCACGAGTGTCGCAAAGTTCTTAATAAATTTTCTAAAATAACTTGCCAGTCCTAAAAATTGGCGTACCTGCCTAACCGTTTGGGGCTGCGGCATTTCCTTTACAGCGTCTATCTTCCTTTGACCTGGCCTTACCCCCTGTCCGCTGATTTCGCGACCCAAGTACTCAATAGTCTCTTTATTATATAAAAAAATGGATGAAAAATAAAAAAATTAGCAATGCTCAAGTATTACAAACAATCGAGCAGACTTTTGATCTTTGCCGACTGCCACGATCGTAGCGTCTCTTTCTTTTCGACTCGCTATCCTCCTCTGCGTTAGTTATATTTACTTGCAATATCTTAGAGTAAAATCATCGATGGACGCGTAACACTTGAAATTACAAGTAAATATGTCCCGAAGTATGTCGTGTTTGGTCTCATTTTAATCGGAAAAATGTCAAGAATTAATTGGTAAAAGTTTGGTAACGAAAAAGTCAAAAATAAAAAAGTTTTATTCTTGCATTAGGAGTGTCCTTCTAGTAGGTCACTGTTTATTTACGTTTAGTCTCCCTGACAGGTCAAGCGACTTGGAGGGGGGTAGTGTGGCGACACCTACTTCCGGCGTAAAAGCGCAGCGGAGAGTGCATTTCCTTACGTAGTGTTGTGTGCTGGCATTTGTTACCAACTTAACTCTGTATGAACATAGAAGAAGCGAAACATAATGTTGCGTTTACCGTCCGCGGTCTAGGGATTTTGGGATGTGGGTAAGTTAACCCGTGGAGCGCTGAGCGCTCTGCTCGCGGTGTGTAGAAATGATTCGAAACAGATTTAAAATGGAGAACGACTAAGTCCAACTATTTATTCAGATAATTGTCAAAGTACTTTTTATAAGAGCGAACTGGAGCGTATGAAATACAAAATTAGTCTGATCGTTCTGCGCTTGGCGGAGGAGATCTTCGGGTGATGCGGATCGATGCCCCTTCCTCGCTGAATCCTGGATCCTCCCTCAGGATCATCCCTTGTCCAATGGTGGAGGAGTCCACCCC